TCAGTTTCTCCCTTTTCTCTCTTAGGTGGTTCTGACCATGCAATGATCTCTATAAATCTTTCTTCTCGTACTTCGTTTTTGGGCTCACCTTATCATCGCACCACCTACTACTACCCTAAAGCTGACTGGGATTCTTTTCGTGATTTTCTTCGTGATGGTCCTTGGGCTGATGTTTTTTCTCTCTCAGCTGACAAATGCGCCTCCTACGTAACCTCCTGGATTCAGGCTGGAATGGAAGCTTTTATTTCTTCTCGTCGGTTTCAAGTCAAGACTCATTCTACTACATGGTTTTCTCCTTCTTGTGCGGCTGCTATATCCAATCGTAATCATTTTTTTCATCTTTTTCAAAAGAACAATTCTCTTGAGAACAAACGGCTATTTATTATTGCAATAAATCGATATAAAAAGGTGCTTTCTGATGCTAAACTCCATTATTCTCAGTTCACTAAATCTCGCATCTTATCGCAGAAGTTAGGCTCAAAAGACTTTCGGAAAACCTTCAACAGCATTATTAACAAGGGTAGATCTAACATTCCATCTCTCATTCATGGGACTGATCTTATTACCTCTCCCAAGGATAAGGCAGAACTATTTGCAAAGAACTTTTCTTCTAATTACACTCTTGAATCTTATGGACATTTTCTTCCTTCCATTCCAGTCAAACAGGTTGACCCATTGTTAGACATTTAAATCACTCCGGCTTCTGTTGCTAAAGTCATATCTCAATTAAACTCGTCTACAGCTTGTGGTCCAGACAACATTCCTGTCACACTCTTGCAGAATTGTTCTCCAGAACTTTCTTCAGTTCTCTCTAAACTATTTAACAAGTGTTTGACTGAGTCTTGTTTTCCTGCTTGTTGGAAAATGGCATCTGTGGTTTCAATATTCAAAAACTCCGGAGAAAATTCTGATCCCTTCAATTATCGTCCGATCAGTCTTCTTTCTGTTATTAGCAAGGTCTTTGTGTCTTTGATCAACAAATTCCTCACATCTCATTTTGAGTCAAATAAACTACTGTCAGACAATCAATACGATTTTCGATCCTCTCGCTCTACGGCCGACTTGCTAACTGCTGTAACTGAAAGATTTTATCGTGCATTAGATGGAGGCGGTGAGGCTAGGGCTATTGCTCTCGACATATCTAAAGCTTTCGACAAAGTTTGGTATGCTGGTCTTCTCCATAAGCTTGCTTCATATGGTGTTTCTGGGAAAGTTTTTGAGATTATCAAATCATTTCTTTCTAACCGGTTTATTAAAGTCATCCTTGAAGGCCAACACTCTTCTTTATTTCCAGTAACTTCTGGGGTTCCCCAAGGTTCCATCCAAGGCCCTGTTTTGTTTCTTATCTACATAAACAATCTTCCTGACAACCTTTCATCTAAAGTAGCTCTTTTTGCTGATGACTCAACTTTATACTTCTGTATTGACAAAAAGTCTTCTTTTTTCGATCGTCTAGAACAAACAGCTGATCTTGAATCTGATCTCACTTCAGTAATAGTTTGGGGTTCACAGTAGCTTGTGAATTTTAAGTCTAACAAAACCCAGTTGTTTACTGCAAACAACTACCGTAATATGGTCAACATTCCTATATTAATGAATGACAATCTCTATACTGAGTCCTCCTCTTTACGCCTTCTTGGATTATTGCTTACTACTGACTATTCATGGAAACCATATATAAAATCGATTGCTAAATTAGCTTCTGCTAAGGTTGCTTCTCTTTATCGTGCTCGCCATTTCCTTACTTCTGATTCCATTCTCTACCTTTACAAATCTCTTATTCGTCCCTGTATGGAATACTGTTGTCATTTTTGGGCTGGTTCTTCTAACGATTCACTTTCTCTTCTTGACAAGGTCCAAAAATGCATTGTAAATTTTGTTGGACCTGGACTATCTGCTAAGCTTGAACCTCTTTCCCACCGTCGTAAAGTTGCATCCTTTTCTCTTTTCTACAAATACTATCATGGTCACTGCTCAAAGGAGTTATCATCTCTAGTTCCATCAACTAAAATTCATTCTCGTTTTACTCGTCATTCAGCTAAGTCTCATTCGTTTACTGTATCTGTTGTATGAGTCAGGAAAACATCTTCATGTTTTCCTGACTCATACAACCTTCAACTTTTCAAGTCTTCTGTCAACCGTTTCCTTGCTCTATAACTCTGTTTTTTTTTCTTCCTAGTAACTCCCAACTTAATAGTGGTTGCTTGCAGCCTTGTTGGGAGTGAATGCAAATAAAATAAAAAAATCATTAAAATATGGCCACTCAATTGCCATGGCAACACGGAAACTAAGGAAAATTCTCAAATTAGCTTTCTTAACAAAAATTCCAGTCAGTTAAAATAATACTTTAAGCTGATTTTTTTCCAACTTATAGTAAAAAAAAAAAAAATCAATGCAATAAGCAGACAGTTTACGCTAACAATTTTTCTGTCATATAGTATGACTGTTTAATATTGGCAATCATTTTAGGCAAAAAAAAAAAGATAAACGTTTTCTTGAATTTCTTCAGTTCATAAAATGTTTTTTTAAAAATTTTTCAGAGCTTAAAGTCAAAAGTTTGGGCTCTGAAAAACTGAGTTTTAAAGTTGTCATAGTATGGTATAGCTCATTGCTTGGGATGCCATACTCTCTATATCTATGAGCCTATTTAACTTAAACACGTCCATAGTAACCAAAAATAATTTAATATGTTTTTTAAAAATATTTGTGTTTTTTGAAGTAAACTTTGTCAATTGAACCTTACCTTTTGCCATATTCACCAAACTTGCTTGCTGCTTGTAAGAATATTTTGAATTCGGGCTTTTTTTCTACAGATCTTAGTATTGATAGCTCCTTTGATTCACAAAGGTTCTTACAGACACATACTTGGTTTAGGTGTATACTTACATATCAATTCAACTGTTTGTTGAGAAATCATGTTTGAATTCTCTGACCATTCTACTATGTGCTTCTGTTTAGCACCTCTTCACTTAAGCATCTTTCTATGTTCTTCATAGTTTTCCTTTTTTTCAAGAGTGCACTCGTTTAGATGTAATTTTTTGTAAATTACATCTAAAAGAGTGCAGTCTTGAAAAAAAGGAGAACTATGAAGAACATAGAAAGATGCTTAAGCGAAGAAGTACTAAACAGAAGCACATAGTAGAACGGTCAGAGAATTCAAACCTGATTTCTCAACAAATAGTTGAATTAGTGTAAGATCAAATTGACAAAACCTTTTTTCCCCTCTGCAAATATTGTTGTTGTTGGTGCCTTTAATGCTAATAACACTTAACGGTTCTAACACCACTGGCTTGGCTCCACCTCTGACCCTGTTAGCACTAAAGCTCATAACTTCTGTATTTCTAAATTTCTAACGCAAATTTAATTTTATACTCAGTTTTATAATCCAAACTCGTAATCTAAACAAATTTAATCTCTAGTCACTAATTCTTTTTGAGATTTATTTTGGATTCAGGCAGGTATAGAAAATCCTTCTTACTGATTTCATGTCAAGCCACATTTTATTTAATTGTCTCATGAAATAAAATGTGGCTTTTTTCTGCTACATATAATTGTAATTAATTTTTTCATTTTTTCCACAAAAACATTACTTTCGACAAGAAACGGTATTTATTGCATGAAATCAATTTAAAATGGTGCTCTTTAACAAAGGTTACTTGAAGTCTCTATTTCTAATTCTGATCTTATCTCTCCAAAGAATAAAATTATCTCTCTAAAAGATAAGGCAGAACTATTTACAAAGAACTGGTAAATCTACTTTTGAATATATATATATATATATATATATATATATATATATATATATATATATATATATATATATATATATATATATGTATATATATATATATATATATATATATATATATATATATATATATATATATATATATATATATATATATATATATATATATATATATATATATATATATATATTCAAAAGTAGATTTACTGAAAAAGTATTATATATATATATATATATATATATATATATATATATATATATATATATATATATATATATATATATATATATATACATATATATATATATATATATATATATATATATATATATATATATATATATATATATATATATATATATATATATATATATATATATATATATATATATATATTTACTATCTTTACAATTCTCATATTCGTCCTTCTATGACTGTATGAAACCTAATGGTATCATACATTATCAACCTAATGGTATCATATTTGAACTGGTTCCTTGAACTATGCTTTTTCTCTTTTATATAAGATTCAAAAATGCATTGTCAACTGAGTTTGATTCTTTATCTTCCAATCCTGAACCACTCTTAACCACTCTGAACCTTTGATAGTCTTAAGATTGTTTCTCTTGCTTTTTTTAAAAAATCCATCATGGTTGCTACTCAAATGAGCTATTTCTTCTAGTTTCATTAACCAAAACTCATTCTTGTTTGACTAATCATTCAGTAAAGTTGCAACCTTTTGCTGTTAAGTTATTCCTTCATGGGACAATTACCTAGTTTTTTTCTCTGTACTTCAATCTTATAGAGGTCTCTTCCAACCTCATGTTTTCCTAACTCATACAATTTACTTTTTAAGTCTTCTGTCAACTGTTTCCTTGTACTTAAACTTTATTATTTTTTTAATAACTGCCAACTTAATAGTGCTTGCTAGCAGCTTTGTTAGGAATTAAAAGAAAAATATTCATAATCTAGCAAATATATTATTTCTTTAGACTTTTAGAATTTTTGTTTTAAGTCACATTTTGTTTAGTTATGAAAACTATGTATGTATGTATGTATGTATGTATGTATGTATGTATGTATGTATGTATGTATGTATGTATGTATGTATGTATGTATGTATGTATGTATGTATGTATGTATGTATGTATGTATGTATGTATGTATGTATGTATGTATGTATGTATGTATGTATTTATGTATGTATGCATGCATGTGCGTATACCTACATAGTGGTTATAGTTTCTTTTGTTGTTTTTATTTATTTAATTAGTTTTATAAAAAATCTGAATAAGTTTGTAAGAGGTTTTTTAACATTTAACATCATCTTTAAGTCGAATATTCAAAAACCTCTGTTGATTGTTGAACTTTTCTCAACAATCTTTAAGATGAAAATAATTTTATATTTGTTTATTTACTCAGTTATTAGCACTGCTAATGCCCACTTTTTTTTTTGTTTCAGGTTCCAAAACCTTTAACACTTTCAACAAGCGAAAAATTAGCAAGTACAAATTTTAGTTTGTACTCAAGGATTTTTAAAAATATTATTCTTTAGATTTCCAAACCTAAGCCACCAAAAAAATGAGAAATGTATGCCAAGAAGATATGTAATTTGTATTCAAATGTAATTTTGTATTCAGAGTGTTGAAAAAAAGAAAAAAAGAGAATAGAGTAGCAGATAGTTGAATGAAGAATATAAGGTAAAATTCTAACTTTGATTGTGAAAGAAAGTTCTTGTTGATACAATGTTTAATATTAAGTAAATAACTTGTGTTAACATTGGCAAAGTAACATTTATATACTTTTTTATAATGGAAAAAAAAAATTGTTTCCACATAATCATTATTGATTTGATGCACTATAAATCAATTTTAGTTTATTTCATTTTATTATTTTATTTAACTTTTGTTTATTTATTGTCATTATTTTATTTAATTTTTATTTATTTATTTTCAATATTCCACTTAATTTTTGTTTATTT